GTCGGCAAATCGGGCAAAGCACATTTGACAGCACAATTTCTATCTACCTCCGAGTCGGATTAAGCGATTATCTCTCCGAATGGGTTACAGGGGGGTTACAAAGCAATTACAGGCATCTCTTAGAAAGCAAATATCGCTAGGTCGCCTCTAACTAAAGCGAGATATTTAAGGCATACCATCCTGCACTGAAGGTCTGAGGCATGACTGGACTGCTGCGGGCTGAACTGTCAGGTTCAAGTTGACGGAATTCTTGATGTCCTCCTTTAAGCTGGAAGTGCAGGAATTCACTTCAAAAAGAGCAGCCGAGCCATGCAAACTTCTCTGCAGGCTCGAGTGGTCATACTTTACGGGCTTTAAGTTGGCTGCGTGAGTAACGGTTGGGTCATTTGCAAAAGATTGCCTCTGCCTGCATCTCTCCTCTTGTTTGGAGCTCGCATCGTGGGCGTAATATTTATTGTTGTCTTCCAGGCACTCTTTGTTGCCGTTGGAGCTGATGTTGATTGGAACGGAGCCGGGGAGGTACGGCTGCGCCGCGCCGCCGAACGCGTGGCTCTGCGGCTGGGCTGCGCACGAACTTGAGCAAGTCCACGGGATCGAGCTCCGGGGGTAGGAAATGGTGGGCAGAGCCGCCAATTGACTGCCATTAGCCCGCAAATTAGGAAAATAAAAGGAATCTGGAGATTGCAAATTCAGGAGAGAACCAACGTAGCCAGATCTGTAGAGACTGCGATCACACATTTCCAACAAAGGACTTCAGCTGTTCTTACAGCAGTATTTAGTTACAACAGGGAATAAGCGGAAAGGCTGAAACGATTGGACGAAACTTTGCAGACAGGTTCTTCAAAGCCGGTAATTTCAGCACCGCCTCCAGCCACCGAGCCACAGAGTCCCCCCCTTTTTTTTTTTTTTTTGGCTTCTCTTCCCCCCCCCCCCCCCCCCCCCCCCCCCCTTTTAAAAAGTCTTATGATAGCACTTGAAATATGAAAATGCCGAGATCGCAAGGGGGAGGGGAAAACATGGTCTCCTCTTCTATAAAAGTGGCCGGGGCTGGCTGGCAAAGCTGCGGCGCTGAGGGAAGAATGGGGGGGAAAACAAACCTTTGCAGAGTTGCCGAGGGGCCATGGCAGCTCCCGGCTGGCAGCACCCTCAGGGCCAGCCGCCCCGCACCGGGCAGCTGCCGACGCGAAAACTACACCCGCGATTAGACTGTGCACTGCGGGCTGGGAATAACCCACGATGGCTCCTTCCCACCAAGAGGAAGGAGATGGGACTGGTTAGGGCACGCGTGTGTATTTCTGCCTCTGTACAGACGAGTACACCTTGTACATGTGCGCAGAACGCGTATTTTGTCCGTTTTATATACGCGTTTGTTTTAATCGCCAGCAACATGATATGCATCCGCATATGCTTGCAATTAAAATCTTAATTGATCGGATATTACCAGGATCGTCATTCTGGTACACTAATGACTAGTATTCTCTTAGGTCCGCAGGTCTGCCCTTTTTACCCCTTTTACCTTTCATCTTCTCTCCGAAGACAAGTTTTTAAACAACGCTTCTAAAACTCGGGGTTTAGTTTGTCTTTACAATACAAACAAACGTCAACAAACCGAGAATAACAGCAACAACAAGAAATGACTCGAGGAAACCCGCCGAGATAAAAAATAAATAGATAGTTAAATAAATGGAATCGATAGACTGCAATGAAGAAAATGTCCGAGCCTGCTCTGCAGCAGAGAGGATGTGAGTGCAGCAGTGGGCAGAGGAGCGTCAGCCTCAGCTGGGTATCCTGCTGCTCTCTCCCAAGTTGCGTATAAAGAATTTTTTCTCCCCTGACAAGAAAATTATCCCTTGCAGTGTTATTTTTGGGGTTTACACATATTTTTACATTTTTGAGAGATCAAACAATAACCCACTTATTCCGTTATAGCTCCCATTTTTCCCGTAGCACCGGGTGAAGTACGAAGAAAATAATATGTGAGAGCATCCTCACAGGATGTTTCTCGTGTCCTTGCCCAAACCGTGAAGGTCGGGAGACGGTGGACTTCTCACGGAGGCAAGCCGGGGCTCCTTGAGCTGCAACCAAAGGCACCCGCGATGGGCCAAGCGGCTGGGTGTCCCGGGAAGGAGCCCCCCGCGACAGCCCGGCCGAGCTTCGCGGCGGTGGTGGGCACCGCGCTCCCCGCCGCTCCCCCGGAGACTTGGGAGGCCCACCGGTCACCCTGACCGGGCATTCCTGTCCTCGGCCTCTGCTCCAAGAGGATCGCCCCCGTTCTGAGCGAGCCCCGCTTCAAGCATAGCCTTAGTGCCCGCACTTTGCCACTTTTCATTACCTCGGTTAAAAAACCTCGAACCTAGTTAACAGGTAGGGTTATTTTTTCCGGGTTATTGTCCTGTTAATCATAGTTTTAATCTTGGTTTTATTTCTACGCCGAGATCAGAGACGCTGCCCCTCCTGACATTCTCCTAATCAAATTCATCTTTCTGTTTAATGGGAAATTGGGGTAAATTCTGCAGTAATTTCATTGCCCTGGAAGAAATCTTTAAATGATTGCTCTCTCCTAGACCACACAGGACCACACAAGCACCGCTGGAGGATATTACTGACCACTGCCTTTAATTTTTATTGTTTGAGTTATGTCTACCAATTGAATCTCCCTCTTATTAGTTTACTTGTTTTCTGCTTTCTTTCTCCCCAAGAGGATGGGTAATAGTTTATTTTCATAACCGTCTTTTACCAAAAAGCTGATTCTGATTTTCGGTTCTCGGAAGACAGAAGGAACATTTTTGTGTTCAAAGACTATATTTTTGCCCGCAATAAACACAAGGAATGGATGTGAGTTCCCAGTTACCGGAAAGAAAGGTGACACTTCAAACTAACTTTTATGGGGTTAGAGAAAACAGAGCTTTCAATTAATGCTCGACTCATTCTGTAACTGCTAATTAATACCGCGAAAAAATATGAAAAGCAAAATCTGGAGTAGCTGGAGACACTCACAGCTGCGGAAAGCGATGTTTATGTTTAAATCTGTAGGGAAAAGAACTGACAGAAACATCGTGTTCCAGGGGCGGCTGGCCGCTGCCGCGGTGCGGAGAGCCTCGGACGGATTTGTGCTGGTTTTTCCAGCCACAGCCGGCTTCTGGTTTGGGGGGCGGCGTTTTAATGCCGCGGGTGTCCCCCCTGCCTGTGTCTGTACAGGAAATATCACCGCTGAGGAACAGAGCGACCCGGAGGGCTGCTTTCACACGCTCCTTTCCGCTCTTCTTTTTTTTGGTTTGTTTTGTTCGTTTGCTTGTTTTGGTTTGGTTTTAAATAGGCAGCCGGGTCGGCCTGAGCATCAGAGCTGACCACACGCTATAATTTCACTGGCATATTCTTCCAGTTTACAGACGAAGGCTGCTCTGCGTGTGACCGAGTAGTCTCCCTCGCTCATTTATCACTCGGAAACGCGGCTCCTGGAGCGAGGTGAAGGCTTCCCCTGCCTATGCCGGGGGTTGTCCAGGAGATGGCAGGATTGCCTCAGACATGGCTGGGAAATCGCGCTGCCTGACAGAAGCCGAGCTCCATGGTAGCTGCCGGGCAGGCGGTCCGCCCGGCCTGCAATGCATCACTGTGCCGCTGCGCATTTGCAGTTCACTTTGTCGAGGTACATATTAATTATCCATAATAATGCCGGCTACATTTCAGGCTAATCGTTGTGATCTTTGCTCTAAACGCGGGCGGCTGTGCCGGGCTGCGGCTGGGGCTGCGCGGCGGCGGCCTGGATGCGCGCCCGCGGGCGAGGAGAGGGGGGCGCGGAGCGCCGGGGCCCTCCCGGGTCCTGCGCAGAGCTCAGGCTGGGGGCATGGGGATTTTGAATAACGCTCGTCAGTGCCCCAGCTCCAGGATGGGAAAACCCTTTGAAGCTGCACTGGCAGGCGGGCGGGCCGATGTGCCGCGGCCCGCAGCCTCGGCCTCGCCTTCCTCCTGGCTGTAGCTGCTGGTTTCTTAATGTTTCTGCACGTTGTTACGAAATTAAAAGGCGACTCCTCTCCATCTGGTACCGATTTGCCAGCCAGTTCGAGTTTCCTCCTGCCCTGGGAAGGGAGCTTTGGCCATGGCAAAGCTGAGTCTTCTGAGAGCCCGGAGACCGGCAAAGCCAAAGGTTAAGCCTGGAAGGAGGAAGGGAAAAGCCCGCGACAGCTAAGCGGCCGGGAAACACAACAGCTCTGGCAGTGCCCGGCCTTCCCTCTGCGGGGAGGCTCGTTGGGAGGAAAAACTTCTTCAGAATTAATAGGACCGAAGTATGTGTGGTTGGGGGGGGAGGTCCCAAGGAAGGTGGGGGGGGAAAAAAGAATTTAAAACATTCAGAGAAAACAAGGCTGCATCAGCAGAGAGGGCTGTTCCAGGTACTTAAATGATGTGACCCACAAGTCTTTTCTTTTCCCAGAATTAAACAAAAATGCACTTTGCGATAAAATCTAAAGTGCTCCGAAATTTACTTTTTTTCGTCCGTTCGGGGAAAAGAAACGCCTCCAAAGCCGTGAACTGCAAAAGGAAGAGAAAGGAGAAGGGAGGGGGGAGGAAGATAATCCCCAAATGGAGCCTGCCGGTTGCGGAGAGAACGGAGGGGCGCTGCCCCGGGCCGGCCGCCCCCGCCGCCGCGGAGCCCCGCCGGGGCACGGGCAAGTGCCGCGCCGGGCTGGGAGGGGAAAACAAAGGGGCGCCGGGCCGCCCTCGGCCACCGGGCAGCGGGTGGCAGGGCCGGGCGAGGGGGGGAAGGCAGACCCTCCCCTGCCTGCCAGCCCGGGTCTTTCTCGCCGGCAGCATTTCTCTCTCCCCAGAACCCCTTCCCCAGCGGCAAGGCGCTCCCGGGTACGTCTTTCCCTCCTTTAACGTGTCTCGCATCGTATCTACCTCTCCTTACCCAGGAACCGCGTCCTGTAAGTGGCCCTGGGAACATCCCAGGCAAGCCCAGAGCCCGCGAAACGCCCCGCTGCAAAAAGAAGGCGATTTTCTTCCTCTCTTTTTATATATATCGAAAAGAAATCGTTTTATTAAAGACGGTTCGGGAACAGTTTGGCAACATCGTTAACAGCTTGGAAGTTCAGCCCATATTTCCAACACAAAGTAAAAGCAGACTTTAAGACAAGAAAAGAAAAAGATATGGTTTATGGAGAAATAGTATTACCGTATGTCTTACCCACATACACTGGTAATCAAAGTGTTTAGAGCAATAGTATATTATAATAAATAATACTAGTTCGGAACACACACATTTTAATAATTAGACGAGGCACATTAACAGAGAGGATATCGTTTCTCTCTCCTAGTAGTTGACTAGCGTGTCTGATCACCCTGTGTATATCATAACATGCACACTAGGTTTAAAATAATAAAAAAAATCGACAAAATCATAGCCTTTCGGCCTATATAAATTATGGCATCTTTTGAAATTCCTTATTTATTGCTTCTGTCATTAACACCCGTTTATTTTTTGTAAATTAAAAGTTAGCGGTGAACTTCACTTCTCCGACCAGGAGGTTGTTTTTTGTTGTGTTTTTGTTGTTTTTTTTTGGTTGGTTTTTGTTTTTTTTTTGTTTTTTTTTTTTTTTAAGCGCCGTGGCGGGAGGAAGGAGAAGAATCTTGTGCTTGTCCGGATAAACAGGCTAGAGCGCTAGAGCGGGCATTTTACACAAGGTCTGCGCAGGTTTATACACACCTCTGCAGCGTCGGCCTGTCCCCCGGCTGCAGGACGACCCGGTCCAGCGGACCCGCCGAAGGAGCTTCCCCGAGGTGCCCGAGCTGCGCCTCCGCGGAGCGCCCAGCCGCGCAGCCCCCGCGGCCGGCAGCGCCCAGCCGGGCTCGAAGCGGCCCTTCCCGGGAACCGACGGATCCTTTGTAACCGGGGAATATGAAATCCTTGCACTGAAAACGAGACCGTGGCAAAAAAAAAAAAAAAAAAAAAAAAAAAAAAAAAAAAAAAAAAAAAAAAAAAGAACTAAAAGCCCCAAACAAAAAGCCAAACCCAAACCTGCGGAAGCGGGGAGCGCGGTGCTACGTGCCTGGGACTCTGCGTTGTGCCCCGCAACAGCTCAGAGAGACTCTCCCTCTCTCGAAAAGCAATTAAAAATCCGGCTACAGACGTTACCCCTCCACGCAATTCACAATTCTGTCCCGGTGGGCTCGGCGGGTTTTGACTGCAGCCCGGTGCTGCCACGGGTCCGGACCCCGGCTTCCTTCCATCTTCCGATTGATTTTTTTTTTTTTTTTTTTCACTCGGCGTGTTTTTAAGTTTACGATACCAAATCAAAACTGACACTTTTTGGCACTGGTTGTTGTTCAGAGAAAAAAAAAATACAGAAACCCCCCCAAAGAGTTAAGCATTTAAGAAAGTTATAACTGTAACCGCTCAACATATTTAAATTCGTTTATACTGGCCTAGAGGGAAGAACAGAAAATATAATTAATATTAATATTATTATTTTTTCAAAAGGAAGAAACAGAACTATAATTCAAAATTTGTCAACACTCCCTTCCAATGAGAGAAAAACGCTGACTTTCATGGAAAACAAATCCCTAAATTTCGCCACCGCTGGAAGGAGAAAAAAAAAATTAAATATATTTTCAAGTCTTTCCAAAAGTCTTTAGCTGGTCGTAAATTGAGTTTATATATCCATCACTGTCCGCAACTAATAGATCAAGAGACATTGTCTTTCAGTTTGGAGACTATTTTCTTATCCTTCACCCTCCTGTTCTGAAACCAAATGGTAACTTGTCTCTCAGACAGGTTTGTGGCTGCGGATATCCTTCGCCTCTTGTCCTTGTTAATGAACTTGTTAATGGCATATTCATTCTCGAGTTCTTTAAGCTGCAGTTTTGTGTACGGCACTCGCTTCTTTCTCCCACGCCGGTAGACACACATATCAGGCTGGTTTAGTGCAACGTCCCCTATTGTAAAAGACATTAGGTGAAAAATTAGAATTTTATTACAGGCGTTTAAAGCTTAACCGATACTTGCTGGGCACTGGTTTTCACGGGCAAATAAATAATGCCGGGTTGTTTACAGTTTATTATTATTTACACTGCCACATTATTTGCCCGTTAGTAAAGCACCAAAACCTTGATGGACTGTCATCACTTTTGAGGCATGCATCGCTAGCGAGCACGCAGGACGGCGGGGGCATTGGCTGGGGAGCCGGGAGCAGGTCGGTCCTGGCAGCGCACACACAGAAATCGCTTTGGTGTGTGTTTCCCCGGGTTTGTTTGCATGTGGTTTGTGCCTCTGTGCCCTCACTACTCGCAGTCTCTTAAGTGCTCTGGGGCCGCGTCACTCGCCGGCCAGAGAGGCAGAGGAGCGCAAGCCTTCGTCCTGCAAGCTGCAAACGCGAATACAAACGCGGCCGCCGAGGGAAGCAGCAGGAGAAGGAGCCCCGGGGCGGCCGGAGCCCACGGGCCGGGGCCCCGGGGGGGGGCTCTGGGCTCTGTCCCGCGGGGTGGAAAGCAGAGGGTGAGGCTTCCTCGGGGGTAAGGGGCGGGGGGGGGGGGGAGGGGGGGGGGGAAAGGAAAAAGGAAAAATCCACCGTCCCCCCCTCTCTCTCCGCTCTGTGCGTGTCTGTGCAGCGTGTCCACCTCGGCAGGCCGCCCCTGCAGCCCGGGGGGCGGGGGAGGGGACGGGCAGGCGGAGGAGGCGCGGGGGGGTTTCAGGTCAGACCATTTCTCTCCCTCTCGTACCTGGAAAGGACGATTTCCAGAAGTGTGAGCTCTGTGTCTGATCTTTGGCACAGTAAACCTGACTATTCCAGCCATTAGCCAGAGTCCAAGACTGATAGCCCTCCATTGATATGTATGTTTCGTGTCTCGGTTCCCCAGAGCCAAACGTTGAGACCATGTCTATGTACCCAGGAACGTGCTGGTAGGGGGTTGTATAGCCCTGGTAGAAGGACACTTCCTTCGCCCTGGAGGAGACTTCATTGGCAGGGACACTCGTGCTGGTCAGACTGGAGACGTCCATGTACTTTTCCACGGGAAAGCCGCCAATGGAGGCATGGGGGGGAGACTTCAGGGCGTTTTGCTGTATCCCAACCCCGTGGGACATCCTGCAGCTATAGTATCCATTGCCAAAGTGATACCCATAGCCGAGCGCGGGGGCGGCGGCCGGCGCGGCGGAGCCCGGGCAGTCCTTGGCCGGGGGGTCGGGCCTCGCCGTCGCCCCCGAGCGCTCCCCTCCGCCGGCGTAGGCGAACCCCGAGGCGGCGGCGGCGGCAGCGGCGGCGGCGGCCGCTCGGCCCGTGTGCGCCGCCCCGAAAACGGGCGAGGAGAGAAAATTACGGCACTGCCCGGGGGCTCCGCTGCCGCCGCCGCCGCCGCCGCCGCCACCGCCGCCGCCGCCGCTGCTGTCGCCGCGCAGTCCGTCCATCTCCCAGCTCGCTGCTTTGCTCATGGCCTTGCACATCGCGGGCGGCGGCGGCGGCGGCTCGGTCCCCGGCCGGGCATGATGCAAATGGTTATTTGCCTCCAACAGGTTGGATCCTGGCGGTACGTTTATAAAAACGAAGTCCAGGTTGGGAGGGGGGACGGGGGTGGGGGCGGCCGGCTCCAGATTAGTTTGCCGCAGCCCGGGGGGCTGCTCATAGGCTGCCGTCGGAACATGTGACCCTCCCGCTGCCCGCACTGCCCCTTTCGCCGCGCAGCCCCCCGGTCCGCACCGACGGCTCCCCCCCCCCCTTCCCACCCCCGCCCCGCCGCCGCGCTCCCGCCCCGCCGCGGCCCCGGCGCTAGGGAGGGGCTGGGCGGCCGGTGATGCCCCTCCGGGCCAGCCTCGCCCCCGTCGCTTTCATCCCCCCTTCCTCCTGCCCGCGGCTTCAAAAGGGGCAGCTCCTCCGCTGGCCCTTTTGAAGCCGCGGGCAGGGGCCCTTTTTGAAGCCGCGGGCAGGGGTCTGACCGGATCCCCGGCGCGACCTTCCCCGGCTCATTGTTGTGTCTGCGGCAGGGGGAAAATCCCGACACGGTCTTTGTGTCCTATCCTCCCAACCTCCCTCCTTCCCGGCGAGGTATGGAGTAGAAGGGCTTTGTTATAGGGGAGAAGGAGTCCCCTGGCTCCATTGAGCTCTCGGTTCACGGAAAACAGTCCCCCCCCCCCAAACTTTAGCCCCCCCCCCCCGATATTACTACCAGCCAGGAAAAGGCACAGGGTTTGTGAGTAGCGCAAGATGCTAAACCTGGCACTCATTAGATGTGGCTTTTTTCCCCTTGCAGTGTCAGCTCATGTCGTGGTAAGGCAGTCTAGTTAAAACGCAGCGTTTGCTTATGCTGACGGCTGTTCTGGGGGTGACTTCCCAAGACTTTGGCAAATCCTTCTGTCGTCTCTCTCGACTCTCCCGCTGAGCCGGGATGGAAATTCCAGGAGCGAGAAGAGCTGGAAATGGAGAAAGCTCCGAAGACGAGTCCCAACCCCAACCCCAGCCCCAGCCCCTGCCCCTCTGGGCTGACTCCGTGGTTGTTTATTGCAGTCACTTAACCCTCTCTCGGGCGCGGAGGGCAACAAGTTGCTGGGAAAGGCGGCAGCTCCGCTGAGAAGAGCAGGGAAACTCCGCGCCCGCTGAAAAGCTCATGGCTGGGGCCGTGTTTACTGTCCCAGCGGAGGTTCAGGCGCAGGAGAGAAGAGAGGCAGCCGCCGTGGAGGTGAAAGTCGGTGCTAACACGATTTCGGGGACGGGGCTACCCTTGCTGAGCTGCCCGGGCAGGAGCGGGGGGGGGGGGGGGGGGCCGGGCTGCTGAGCTGCCGCGGGCGCGGAGGGGCCGAGCGGGAGCGCGGCAGGTCGCGCAGCAGCCGCCCGTCCCTCAACCCTGCTTTGTAGCCGGTCGTTTCTGGGAGCGGGATGAGGAATGACAAACGGGTGCCAGTGGTCACAGCAACAACCGGATGGCAAGCACGAGTTCACGTTCATTAGCTCTAACCACTTAATTGCTATTAATCTTTCATAATCAGCTAAGAAGTGAGCCAGACGTAATTACGTGTTTCGCTGGGTTATAAGCCTAATCAGTATTTACTCTCAGGACATGAAACCTTACATAATTAGGAGGACGCTTTGTCGAGGCACAAGTTTCTCATCCTTTTACGTCCCTGCACGCAGCTTCCTAGTGAAAACATTGCTAACACAGTGAAGTCCAGAGAACGAGAGACTTTATTTCTCCGGACATCTTTCCAGTTGTGTTCCCATCACCCGCTGTGATTCTTCTTGCAATAAATGCGGTGAAATTTTCTCTCTCGTCACGACATTTTAAATAAGGCCGCCGAAAGAAAGGAGCACCTAAAGCACAGGAGTTCGGAGGTTTTTGAGTTCCGTTACATCAAAGCAAACCACGGTGCAGCCGCAGAGACGCCCGTAGAGGATCTCAGCCCTGCCGAGACCTCTGCTGCAGCGGGAGCCCCACGGTGTCCCAGAAAACCTTGTCTTTGGGCGGGTTTATGACCAAGAACTTCAATTCCATAATGAGCCGTTTTGTGGAGGGTGTAGAAACCAGCACTGCCTTGCACGACAGGATATTATGCACAGGAATAAAAATAATGAGCTCATGAGCCGAGGTCCGATCTCTGGGAGCATCCGCCCTGTTTACAAGTGGCAGGACGCGTCCCGCACCCTCGATCCAGAGGGCCATGCGGGGGCCCTGCTGCGGCCCTGGCCCCGGCCCCGGCGCGGACCCGCCCGCCGCCTCCCCGGCCCGGCCCGGCCCGGCCCGGCCCGGCCTGGCCGGTCCCCACCGGGGCCCCGCTCCGCCGCAGGCAGGGCTCCGTGCCGCGCTGGCCGGGCCTCTGCCAGCTCGACAGTCCTTGCCGTGCCCCGGCAGCGGCTCCGCGGGTGCCCAGGGCCCCGCGGAGCCCCGCGGAGCCGCACCGCGTTTTCCATTGACACATTGCCCTGGAATCTGTGTGACACACGAGCTAGATAGCATCGCTGCCGAAAGTGGCTGTGATCTCCCCCCGAAAAAAGATTTTTGCCCTGAAATTATCTAATTTCCTCAAATGCATTTGCTATGATTTAACACAGTTAGGAGTCCACTCAAGATTTTAGTACAGGCTTTTAGTATTTGCTGTCTGTCCTAAGCCTGGTCTCTCCCAGGGAAAACAACCCAGTTTTTTCATCAGCTTTCTCGCCAGAATTTGTCGATGGTAAGTATGTCTTTAGGAAGTTGCTTCTCCTGTTAGTGTTTGCTGAAAAAAAAACCCAGACAAACCCAAAAGGAAGAGGTCGTCCAGGACAAACGGAGAAAAACGAAGAGAAAACCAATCGATTTATACTTCCCCAAACCTTCCCCCATGCCCACTGCGTTCCGTTGTTACCTTTTAACTTGCGTGGACTTTTAATAGCTAAACAGAACAGAAGAGCTTTCATTTTCCCCTACCCCTTTAAAAAAAAAAAAAAAAAAAAAAGCCAGTTACGATAATGAAAAGATTTAACAGCAACGCGGGAAAAATTGTTAAAACTTTTTTTTCCCCCTCCAGATCTGTGCCACAGCTTCTCATCTCTTTATTTACTTTAGCCTTAAAAAATCGAGTCGGAGAAAGTTTTCTTGGGGCTCCTTGCGTGGCCTCTGTGCAGCGCTGACGGGCGGCTGAGCACCGCGGGCGTTGTTGAACTTGAGCTCTCGGGTCACGGGCTGGTGCTGGCCGCTCCCTGACTCCCACCTCCCCTCTGAACCGGCACGGGGACCTCGGGGACCCCGACCTGGGACGAGCTCGCCGACCTGCTGCAGCTACCACCTAAGGTGAAACATCGACCGAGTCGCTTTCCGACCGGAGTAACGCTCCGTCGTTTAAATTAAAACATATTTGTGTGCAAAGGCAGCCCTAGAAGACATTGTGTAATCATTAGCCGCGCAAAGCGAGCGCCCGCGGGATCTCAGCATGGGTAGAGTAGGGTGAGACGGTGCCGAAGGGCCTGAGTGACTCGGACACTCTCCGTTCGTGTCCTTCACTGCTCTCCGGTGACATTTCACGGAGAATTAGGGCTGAACACGCAGGTAGACGCCCCGAGACCGACTCGATACTGATAAGACAGCCTGAAGCGAAGAGGGGAGCCCGGGCTGAGTGCGAGCGGGTGCAGGCGCTGCGCGGGCGCGGAGCTGAGCTGCCAAGAGACCCCCGGCGGGCAGGGCGGGCAGGGCAGGACAGGCAGGGCAGGGCGGGCAGGGCAGGCAGGCAGGCCAGGGCGGGCAGGGCGGGCAGGCAGGGCAGGACGGGCAGGGCAGGGCAGGCAGGGCAGGACGGGCAGGGCAGGGCAGGCAGGCCAGGGCGGGCAGGGCAGGCAGGCCAGGGCGGGCAGGGCAGGGCAGGGCAGGCAGGGCAGGACGGGCAGGGCAGGACGGGCAGGGCAGGCAGGGCAGGACGGGCAGGCCAGGGCGGGCAGGGCAGGCAGGGCAGGACAGGCGGCTCCCGCCGCCCCGCCGCGCAGTGCCGCCGCAGAGCCGCCAGGTGGCGCCGCCGTGCCTGCCGCCGGCGCTACCGCGGGCACTGCGCGGGCGCTGCGCGGCCCCCCCCGCGCCTCAGGGTCCCCCGGCCCCCGTCGGGGCCGACTCCCCGCGGGGCCTGGCACCAGCGCACCGCCGCCTGCTCTCACCCCGCGGGACACCTCCCGTAGACTTTGCGCTGCCGCGGATCGCCCGCTGGCGCTGCGCGCCGCCCCGGGCCCCTGCTGGCAGCCGTCCCCGCCGGGGAGGGGGAAGCAGATATTCCTGTCCATCTTCCCAAGCACGCTCTGAGTGGTGAAAAGCTGGCCGAGATGTTGTTTGGCTGATTTAATACGAAATTCATTTCAATTAAGTTGCGTGACCTCTTTTTCCCGGGTAAGATTTAATAAACGAGCGCTGAAATATTCTTTGATGTCTCGAGCAATAACTTTCAAGGTAAAAATGAAATTAAGTTGGCCATAGGCCTAAGCAGCTATTTAAACTTACAAGAACAACTGAGTAAACAACCTCTGACAAAACCTTGCATATTTCGGCGGTCTCTGTAACTTCCTCCCCCTTTGCCCACTCATGTCATTCTAATGCTGGAGGTTCTTTAGGCTGAGCTATTGATTTTGAAGAACTATAAACATATGCCGAGAGATTTTTAGGTTGTGCTATTGCTTTGGAAAAAAAATCAAAACAACAGCAACCCCGATAAACATAAATGCAGTAAATTAATCTAGTTTGCTGGGAATATAAATATTATATGACTAGTTTATTAGTGGGTTGACGGTTTGGGGTGAACTGATTAACTGCATGGCAGGGAACGGTTTTGTTACATCTACTTAGTGGAAGATTATTAACGGCTCTTAAAACATGTTATTTCCCTTGCATACGAATGTAGCTATATTTTAAGAGACATTGTACATGACCTAAGGTATCAGTATTATTTAAAAGGTGCAAAATATAACATAACACTAATAAAGATCATTCACAGCCGCACTTGCATGTAACTTATTTTTCTCACATTGGGGCTTTTCATGTAGTCTTTTCCATCCTCTCTGCATAACATAAAAAGCGTTCCCTCCTTTTTAGTGGTGCCGTAACATTTCTGGAGTCTAAAGCTGTGCCGGCTTTGATTGTGTGCACACACGAGTGCCTCGGAGATGTGGTATCTCGGCTGCGGTTTCCGAAAGAGCAGGGGGAAAGATGCTCGCCCTGTTACAGCCTTTAAGAAAACAGACGAGGGCGCCAAACGACAGCAATAAACCCGGCCACAGGCTTCCGCTCCGCCTCCCGCCCCGCCGGGCCTGGCTGCTGGGGCCGCCGGCTGCTGCGGAGCCCGGCGCGGCGGGGGCAGCGGGGCTGCGGGCCGGGCAGGGCTCCGGGGCTCCGGGGCTGCGGGGCTGCGGGGCTGCGGGCCCCCGGGCGGGCCGGTGCCGCTGCCGCCCGCGGAGCGACCGCTTGGCCACGCTCAGTAAAACCCGAGCCGGGTCGCAGCGGTGGGGGCCCCCTCCGGCCCGCCGGGAGGGCCGCGCAAAGCCCCGGTACCCGGCCCGGCGAGGGGCGGGGGGGGAGGCCCCCGCGCTCCGCGGTATGCGCCCCGCTCCGCTCCCCTCCGCGCCGCCCCGCTCCGCCGCCGCGCCCGCGGGCGAGGAGAAGTTGATATTTACTTTTGTCTGGGTTTGGGGCTGTAAAACGCAGGACACCACACTGCAGTCTAAATTCACATTTCAAAGGGCTGACATAAAACGCTCATTAATTGAAGGCTGGATTTTGCAAACAACGCCTAGAATGTTTCCTAAATATTCGGTGGAATGTTTAGGGAGACTTTAACACGTTATTAAAAAAAAAAATAATCTGACAAGTATCCCATTTTCGAGCTATGAATCATGCGCAAGAGCACAAGAACTTAGGAGATGTGTGTGACTAACACGAGCACGACAAGCTCTCCTCGCAAAAAATCAAACCCACGTTTAATCACAGGAAACATTGGGGTGTTTCTCCGGGCGATGAAACTCAGATTCCCAGGATCTAAATACTAGATGATGTGGGTGAAAAAAAATCGCGGCGAGAATAAAGGTTGGGCAGCTCTTGAAGCGCACTCCAGAGATGCTAACGACAAAGGATTTATCTTCGTTTAAATGGTTGCCGTCAGCGTCATTATTACTAGCAAAGTTATCATTGAAGGGAGACTTTCCGACTGTCACGTCTGCCGAGCGCGGCAGCCCGTGTCCCCTGCAGCGCGGCGGCGCGGCGCCCCGCGGCACCCGGCAAAGAGCAGAGGGACGAGCTAACTGAGCCACAGGTAACTTTGGAGAGAGGGTGCTAGAGGTGCTGTCTCTGCCAGCTCGGAGCCTGGAGGCAATAAACCCCCATCACTTATTTCTATTATTATTTTATAATATTTAAATGCGTAGACTTTATTGGCGGTGGGGAGGGAAGAAACAGAGGGCTGGAGAGAAACCTGCCGAGAGGATGAAATGGCACGGCCGCGGCGTGTTTTAAATCACGAATATATTTAACGTCCTTCGGTTATTTCCGCGCCCCCCCTCCGCCGTCATGCCGCACAACAGCCAGTATTGTCCCAGAAGGGAGAAAAATAGCAGGCTAGCTTCGTCGATAATCAGGATTATAGAAAGCAGAAAGGAGATCGCATTTAAGGACGCAACGAATAATAATAATAAAAAAATTAGAATTATAATATCCTAGATTGTAATAAATACTTTAATTTCCAGGCAACTGCTGTAGGTGCACTCGAGTCGGTGCGTGCCGGTAGCAGCAGTCTTATAAAGTCTGGGCATAAGGTTCGCGCGTGTGAGGGGGTACGTGGGGGTGTCAGTATAAATTCCTAAATAAAAGTACTAACGTGGTCTGGAAATGGGAGGGAAAAGTAAAGAGATATCAGCGACAGGAGGTTCTCGGTCCTCGGGTCCCCTTCTAGCATTTCCTCGCGTTGTGATCTAAAATCCGCCTCAAAAATAATAATAAAGGAAAGTATTATCTAATATTTAGCGTGCAGTTCTGTCCGAGGACAAATGAGAAAGAAGCTGCATCATTAGGACCTAAAAGGCAACAAAACAAAAATCAGAGCATAATGATGCACCTAAATGAAGGGGGAAATGTTGCACAGCTCATTTTATTAATCAGACTGTCAATTCCACCCCAGAGGCCAAACCCCAGAGCAATTCAAGCAAGATCTGATCAAGCTAAGGACAAGAGCTTTACTCCTCACTTCTTGTCTTTCTTTCTTTCCACCTGGATATATTTGTCTGCTCTGAAGCCGCCTTCATTATCCACTGACAGGAGCTTGTATTTATTTGCTTATAAACCTGTTACAATAAATGATTATTCGAACAGCGTCATTCGTACCTTAATGACGAGCACCACTTTTTGATGAATGACATTTCGGGCTAGAAAGGATGTATGGGTCATTTTGACCAGTCATTCCCTCGCTTTGGCATCCCACAATTTTTACGCCTCCCTCAAAAAGAGATAATAATATTTAGAGACACTTGCCGGGCTGAATGTGAATTAGCCCCTGCTGCAGCTCATCATTAGTACAGGACCAGCCCTGCAACTTTGACATTTTTTATAAAGCTGAGATGATGGAAAGAATAAGAAAAGAGATGATCCTGATGGAGAGAGGGCTGCACAGCCCTACAGCTGGCAAAAGGCTCTCGAATTTGTCAGACTCAGCTGGAAATGCGGTGCTGGAGGCCCTTGAAAATTCTCCGCACAGTGGTCGCCTCAGCCCGAGACTGACTGCCGCCTCCCTGCACAGCGCTATAGGGGACATCTCCACCAAAGGCAAATTTGAAATAGACACTTTATTCAATCTTCAGCACCCGAGCAGTGAAAGCACCGTCTCCTCCGAAATCCCGCCGTCGGAAAGCAGGAAGAAAATCAGCCTTTATTCCGAAGTTGCTCAAGAGGCAGATATGAACAGTGATGTGGAGGTGGGCTGCTCCGCGCTCCGCTCCCCAGCCAGCCTGACTTCCTCCCAGCTGAAGGAAAACAGTAACAAAGGTAACTCTTCCTTTATCATCTCCATCTAAGCCCCGCACTTTGCCAACCGGCTTTAAAAACCAAAGCAAACCCACGGCCACGGCCAAAGTTGCTCGCCTCTGCACCGGCGCTCTCTTTTCTGCGAATATAGAGCTCCAGGCTGTAAAATATTATTGTAATTACTGCGCTATCCCGATAGCCGAGACAGACTGCCCGGGCAGCTCCTGTGCGGGTGCGTGCGTGCGTGTGTGTGTGTGTGTGCATGCCCAAATCCATTGGTATGAAGATATATCTTCAGAATATATGTGGGCACAAATATCCACCCACCTATATTTAGGGAAAGCTTTCTCCTTATTTTTCCTCGTGCTCTTGGAGCTCTCCAACTGTATATGTGTGTATATACATACATAGATTAAATTAGAGAGAGAGAGAGAGAGAGAGAGAGAGAGGAATGCGAGGAAACTGTTCATATTTGTCTGCGTGTGTACTCCTCTGTCCTGTGTATATGCAACGTACCGTCTGTGTCCACCTCGGTGTAATTGGACATTGTTCACTTTTCCTCTGCTTGTAACAGGGGGTTTGAAACGGCCTCATCTCCTTCCCTAGGCTTTGTGGGGTATGGTGATGGACGGTGGCTGTTATTATTGCTGTAATTGGGGAGGGGGAGCCAGGTGAGCGGTGGATTTCCTAGGGGCCACAGTGCATGCCTTTTTTTGTCAAATGTGCCAGCGAAAGGAAGGGATCCTCGACGTAACGCTGGAGGAAAAAAAAAAAAAAAAAAAAAAAAAAAAGGCTTTTACGGCTGCTCTTATTTCGTACGTCTCAAACGAAAATAAGAACCACAGTCGACGGGGAAGAGGCTAGAACCGAGCCCGGGCTCCCGGCAGCCTGGCGGAGCCGCGCCGAGCCCCGGGCCGTGCCCTGGCCCGCTCTTCCCGGGGCTCGGCTGCCCTGCGATCACCAAACCCACCCCATCTGCTGTGAATAACGCGGTGATGAAGTGACTCAAAAAAAAAAAAAAAAGGGAAACAAAAAACCCCAACCCCCCCCCCCCAAACCCCCAGCCAGCCCCCCAAAATCCCACTTTATCGATTCTGTTAGCAGCAGCGATTTGTACGGATGACAGCTGGCCTTAAGGACGGGCCCGCTCTCACCTCTGTGCGCTCGCCCCGCAGGCTACGCGGAGAGCAGCCCGGCGCCCAGCACCCCCGCCGCCGCCGCCGCCCCCGCCGCCGGCCTCGGCAGCCTGCACGGCGGCGGCGCGCTGGGCGGCTCGGCGGCGGGGGCCGACCAGGTCCGCCGGTACCGCACCGCCTTCACCCGCGAGCAGATCGCCCGCCTGGAGAAGGAGTTCTACCGGGAGAACTACGTGTCGCGGCCGCGGCGCTGCGAGCTGGCCGCCGCCCTCAACCTCCCCGAGACCACCATCAAGGTACGCCGCGCTCCGCGCTCCGCCGCGGCCCCGCCGCGGTGCCCGGCCCACCCCCCCCCCCCCGGGCCGGCCGCTGGCTCCGCTCTCCGGGCGAAGGACTCGCCGGGCCCTTAGCTGTGAGCTTCCCTTGCGCCCGTTTGCTCCTCCGCACCGAAAACTTTCTTTTTTTTTTTTTTTTTTTTTTTAAATGTCGTTGTTATTATTATTTATTTTCCTCGTCAGTTTTTATCGCGTTAGCGTATTTCCTAAAGAGGAGAGGGGAGAGAAAATAAACGCAGCTATTAAACACGGGGGGATGAGCTCGTCAACGCCGTAAAGTCACAGTCCTGGGTGGGGAGGGGATGGAAAGGGACGACTCGAAGGGAAAAACGTTTATTCAGATCGGAGGGGTCCTCCCGGGGCCGAGGGGGACGGTGCCCACCGCTCCCCTCGGGCCAGGCCACGGGCGATCGCTCCGAGCAGGAGCGGGCTCGCCTACAAGGGAGGCGGCCGAGGCGTAGCCTCAGGCCGCGGTGTCGGTGGGCGGCGGTGGGTGTCGGTGGGCGTCCGCCGGTGCTGGCGGTGAGGAGCGGGTGAGGCGGGGCGCGGAGCGGCGCGGAGCTGAGGCCGCGCTGTGCTTGTCTCCCCGCGCAGGTGTGGTTCCAGAACCGGCGGATGAAGGACAAGCGGCAGCGCCTGGCCATGTCCTGGCCCCACCCGGCCGACCCCAGCTTCTACACCTACATGATGACCCACGCGGCGGCCACGGGCAGCCTGCCCTACCCCTTCCACTCCCACGTCCCGCTCCACTACTACCCGCACGTCGGGGTCACCGCCGCCGCCGCCGCCGCCGCCGCCTCGGGGGCCGCCGCCGCGCCCTTCGCCACCTCCATCCGCCCTCTGGACACCTTCCGCGCCCTCTCGCACCCCTACTCCCGCCCGGAGCTGCTCTGCAGCTTCCGACACCCCGGCCTCTACCAGGCGCCGGCCGCCGCCGCCGCCGGCCTCAACAGCAGCGCGGCCGCCTCGGCGGCGGCGGCGGCGGCGGCAGCGGCAGCGGCGGCGGCGGGCTCGGGGCCGCCGGGGGGCTCGGCGCCCTGCTCCTGCCTCAGCTGCCACAGCAGCCAGACGGCGGCGGCGGCGGCGGCGGCGGCCTCGGCGCTGGGTTCGCGGGGCGCCGCCGCCGCCGACTTCCCCTGCACGGCGGCGGGGCAGCGCTCCGAGAGCGGCTTCCTGCCCTACTCGGCCGCCGTGCTCAGCAAGGCCGCCGTCGCCTCGCCGGACCAGCGGGAGGAGGCGCCGCTCACCAGATAA